TACCAAAAGAACAGGCTGGTGAAAAATATGAGAGCAAAGGGAGCATGCCACTGATGAAAATCAACTTGAAAAAGTATATATATTTTAAAAACTCAAAACAATGGAATTTTTCGTAAGATCCAGTACAAATGTTCAGCTAAAAATTTTCATCAAGAAATAGAATTCTGTTCTGGAGAATCATAATTCACAGGAAAATAAATTTAAAGAGATATTGTGCAGGACAACTCATCCCTACAACACATTGCCTAAAAATATGTATCTATTAAGGGTAATGGGGCAGAGGGAATAATCCTATCATGCTAACCTTACAGTGTAGTTTCGTGACTGACCTAAGATATCCAAGTTTGCTCAGCTGCTTGTCCTTCTGTCCTGGATTATTTGTTAGGTGGGGGAAAGAGGTAATCTAGTGGACTTTTTTTTTTTAAGTGAGGGTTTTGGGGGCGGGGGGGAGAGTTCTTAGTCAGGGCATTTTACCACCTAGCAATCTGGTACATTATTGGTGCAATCATGTGTTTGTACACGTTAATCCTAGCATACGGCTAGGAGACTATGCAACAAAGTGTCACCTATAGGATCACGCACAGATTTAGATTATCTTAAATCGACTGAGAAATGACTTCAACACCTTAATGTTCTTTTCCCATTTTCATGTTATATAAACATTTCTATTATTTTTGGCTAGTATGAACACACAAAGCCTCTGATTTCTGAGGTATGAAGAGAGACTGTATCTGTTCTCCTTGTGCTTACTAGCAAAAAGGCTGTTTGTTTTTGTTTTTTTAAGCACTATTTGTATGACACATTGTGTGCATTGCAGGAGGAAACATGTTATGCTACCTGCTCTCTTTTCAGCTACAATAAACTCCAAATGAAGAGCAGCACAAAATACCAGGGCAGGAGTACTCAAAAACTCTAAACCCTTCAGAAGCAGTGCTGGCAGATTTAGTTTGAGATCTGAGTATACTGCTAATGAAAAGAAAACCTACAAAAACTAAAAAGCAATATCCTGATGCAAATAATGAAATATATTCAACACATAATCTCAAAGCACCTCCTATTTAGAAAGGGACATTCTCCAGAATGCTTCCTGTATAATGTTCATTATCAATTCTTGCAGTGAAACTCAGCAGAAACCTCCCTTGGATACTTACAGGGGCACAGCAACATATTCAAGCAAGCTACTGAACAGAAATTACTTTGCTAAAATTTGAAACTATAGTTTTGCCTATTTAACTTTGTTTTAGCTATTTTTCACAATCTAAACCACAGATGCAACCAGGCATGGTATTCTTCTCAGATTAATGTGTTAAAATAGGTGCTGCACAGCTGGAATAAATCCTTGTGGACAGAAAGGAATATTGCATTTCTTCAGTCAAGCTAACCCTTCCTTTAAGCTTCGCATCTAACATCCACCACATGGTTCTAGTTGGAGGATAGCTGGAAGATTAGTAAATATTTAAAGAGTGTTATAGCTAATATATTTATGCAATAAATTTGAAACTGAATGAAGTCTATGATATTCCTATATTGAGTCTGAAACTAATATAAATACAGTCAAAACTCCGTTTGCTGAAAGGCTTTAGCAACAAAACAAAGGGATTTTTAAGCTCCTTAAAATAGCTGCCTAACCTTTCTTTATTAACCTAGATACAACAGATTTTATTTGTATGCATCTGTGTGCGTGTGTATATATATATAAAATATGTGTTTGTGTGTGTGTATATTTTGCCCTTTAGATGTCAAGAAAAAGTATAAACTACTTAAATCTACAGGCTACATGCACATCCCGCTAACAGAATTAAGGGAGTTTAAAAGAGGAAATATAATTGGGTAAGCGAACATTTACATCCACAATAATCTTAACTCTGCCTGATTTTAAATTCATCAGATCAAAACCATCTTCTCAGTTACTTGAAACGTCCAACACCTGCCGTGACTGGAAAGCACCTTTTGAAGAAAGCAGAAACAAAACTGCTAGCTCCCGGTATAGACAGATTAAGTCGCTTGGGGGGAGAGATGGAAGACCAATAAAATAACTGCCCAACTGCCATGCTCTATTTATTTAATAATAATAATAACAAAAATAGGACCTAAAACAGAATGTCCCTATATTTACATCTTGGAATATCAAGCGTTCATCATGCCAGGGGGGCTGTCGTGGGAGAATTACAGAGCTATAGAAATAATTCTACTCTTCACACCTGGCTACACTTACTTTGTCTTTGTAATACAAATGGTAACATGAAAACACCCAAGTTTTCCCTCTTCTCTGCTATGAATCTGTCATAACCCGATTTCACATTAAATGACACACCAAGTCATTCTGCTTCGCTTGGTGTTGATCCAAAGCTTTGAAAAGGCTTCTTTTTAATTTTTTGTTTACAAGGAAACCTTGGTAACTGCATTAGATTCAAATGCTGATTCAAATAATATTTATTACTGCTGACAATAGATAGACAATAATAAATAAAAATACAGGAAAAAACAGGAACAGCATGTTAGTATTTAGCTTTTTGCATCAGTTTGATATAAATAGTGGATCTTTACTATGGTGATTCTATTCTGAAATATCTGAATTTAAGAAATATTCTATAATACATATTCTATAACATACATTCTATAACCTATAAGTATAAACAAAATGTAAAATTTTGAAGTTTTCAGTTACAGTCACTGTCTACATAATTAACACAGCAATTCCCCAAATCTATAAAGTATGCAAAACTGCCCTATAAGCATAAAAGTATAAATGTACATTTGTTCTAAGCTTATACTGCTATTGTTAACTATTGGGTAAATAATCATTTCTGTGTGAAAGATTCACGAAAGGAGTATAAACAATTTTTTTGAGGAGAAGGAAGAAGATGGTCATGGAATAAGAAGACGAGTAATGCAGCATTGATTCTGTAAAATTAACTTGTGCCTCATACTGCACAGACATTATCAAACTGTCTACCATGTACACAGAGATTTCAGTATGTGCCCAAGTGAATATCTCCCTAGTTTAGCAGTCCTAGCCATCTTGTTTAAAAGGATATCAACAAACTGGCCCCAGCTCCAGACCAGAACTACAGTGGCTCTGCCTGTAGCAATTATACCCTACAGACACAAGGCTGAAGGATTTTTAATACGTCCTCTGAATGGTCAACTGTAGTGGCCACTTCCATCCACTGAACTCAAACTAAAAACTAAGTACACAGAAAGTCACCAAACAAGTCCAGCAAGCATGTAAGTAGATTCTTATTCATGCCTACTAACAAAAGAGCTTCCTTTTACTCCTTACAATGGCTAAATAAAGGAGATGAAAGCCCCCAACTAAAGGGCTCTTCAGTTACATCTCTTCTACACAATACCCAATAAAAACCTCCAGGACTTTAAAAGCAATAAAACAGCAACACATTTTAACCTTTCACTCGGAAGTGTCAAACTTATTTAAATTTGGAGGTAGTTCAGCTCCTCTCCAGTTAGTGCCTGAGGAGTGGGCGCATGTGCCTACGCTAACCACTTGCCACTTCCTCCAGGAGAGGGTGTGGGAAAAAACCAACCTCCACTGCCAATGCACTAACATACGTGTTTTCCCTGCTCGCCCCTACCTCCGCTCCAACAAGGCCTCCCCCTGCCAGACCACCTGTTTCCTGCCAAGTCTGCAGTTTTGGTTAATAGCATGTTCTTACAATGCATGACATGATGGGACTGATTAAACCTGGAAGCTCAAGGCAGCTGAAAACCTTTGTAAAACCTTGGCAAGCCACAGAGCTCCATTAAAGTACTCTGAAGTTTGATAGAGAAAATTTACATGATGGCTTAACAACCCAGTTTTACAATAAAATTCTCAAATTATATAGACCAAACTGAAAGGAAGCTACAAGGCTTGCAGTACCTTTTGCTAAACCTAAACCAAACGATTAACTTTCATGCATAATTTAAAATTGATTCTTCATAATGTGGTAAATAAATTCAGGAGGAGAAAATTAAGATATGTGCACGGTGATATTCATAGCTCTCATCCAAGAAAGCATGTTTGAACAATTTCATTTGTAAGATTTAAATACATGTTTAAGTGACTTTTTGAATCAGGGCTTCACAGTGCATACACAGAGTCTCATATCACTTCAGTAATTTTTTTTTCCCAAAAAAATAATTTAGGAATAAATTATTCAAGAAAACTATTTTCAGGTGATAGAATTTGTGTCTAATCAGCTGAAATTCTCTTTTAAACCATGCTTCAAAATGAATTTGTTTTTAAATTGGCTTCTTTCAAAAATATGTTTATTTTTTAGAATAAAGGTATTAAAAGACAAAACATCATACACTGTTAGTACGTAAAATAAAAAGCACCGCATATAAGTAGTGGGGCAAGATTAAGTCCATACTTAAGGATTTGATGACTAGTTTTCAAGAAAATGTCTAGAAGTACATGCGGGAAAACTAACCAGCAAAAGTGAAATAGCTTTGATTTAGATACAGATGTGACCAGGAAATTAGTCTGTGAAGTACTATTTTGCAAACTGATAAACATGCAATTAAGAGAGATGCAATCAAGTGCATACACTTTGACCACTTCACTACTTTTTAGAAACTGTAATAATCCAATTAAATTACTACTGAACCAGGCAAAAAAAAAAAAAAAGAGTACCACCCTGTTTATATTTAAGCTTTTTATTTCCACTATGTATTTTCATTCAATGAAACAACCTAAGAAATTTTTTACCCTTGATTTGTTAAAGAAAGTTAAGTTCATTCACATGTAAATTTAACGATGGATTATAAATGTCTTGAAACTAATTCAAGATACGACTCTCATTCTGCCCCTTTCTCTGCTCAAAAGTGATTTAAATTATTCTAAATCGTTTTGTAAATATCAGAAACCAATATTCAACTGAAGTGTAACTTGATTTGTTTGCAAATCTCTTTTGAATTGCTTTATGAGGCATAAGCACATGCAGTTTATTAGGAAATAATAAGCAAAGAAGGCAAGCCAGGCAAGAAGCTTTGCTCACTTTCAAAGTCAAGGAAAAAATTTGGCCCCTGATCAAGCTCTGTGCAAGTGAGAACTTTTAAAAGATTTCCCATTTGGTTCCTGAAAAATAGAAAAGGAAGAGAAAAGGAGTCCTGAGTGAGCAAACGATTTTAGAGGCAAGGACTTGGACATACTGGTTCTGCTGGAAAATTTACACTGCAAGCAATCAAATTTTAAGTTTTTCCTCAGTTCATTGTAAAGTCAGGGAAAAGATTCTCTCATTGCCTTGTAATTCTTTCAACTTACTTTCAAAATCCAGGAAAAAATGTGGATAGTTTTCAATTTCCCTGGTAAGGACCTTAAGAAGATTACCCATCCCAGCAAACCTATTAAATGCAACAAAATTGTAAACAGTTATATACGTAACATTAGAACGTTGCAGCTAACAGCTTGACACAATCTGCATCATATACTAAATATTACGGCAAGTTCTGGACCACGGAAAACATTTTGATGGTTAATCCTGTGATGTATGTGTGTTGGGACAGAGAAGAGGACCTTGTATAAATACAGAAGTAATTCTATTCAACAAATTGGAATTTAAGCATCTGTACAACTTTACCAGGAACAGAAGGATATTTTTGAGCTTGTTTTGTTAGCACGAAAAACAAATTCAGGACTATCCACATCTATATTTGTTAATCCTCTGAATTGTTAGGCTCAGATTACCAAATCCCATTCCAGAGGAAAAAAAAAAAAAAAAAAACCTAAAGGAAAGAGTCAAATTGTTTCTAATCAGTAAGGCCTTAAATATTACCATCAAAATATTATAAAAATAGTTACAAATCCTATTCCTTTTAACCTTAAAAATTTGTGTGTGCATTTTTGGAAAAAAAAGGTTTAAGTTCCAATTTTTTCAGCCATCTTGGAAGCTTTAATATTCCAAGTCAATGAGAAAAATTCCCAAAAGAAAAAGTGACCAATTCTTGAAAAAAACAAGCATCTCTGAAGCAGAAAGAAGAATTGAAAAAAAAAAGTAGGTTTTTACTCGTATAGCCCTTAGGAGGGCCTGTTATTCTGAAACTGTGTATAGCTTTCTTGGGCAAACTTAAACTTTTTTCAGAAAAGAGAAAAATCAAGTCATGAAAAGCACATATAAGAAATAAAGACAGTCTGCCTAGAGGGATGTAGAGAAACGTAACTTAAGATTTAAAAGTCAGTTTGAAAACTTTTTTGCCTCAAAGACAGACGTTCTCAGTGTTCTAAAGCACGGATCTTGGGGCTCACATCTGATGCTGATCTAGTTTTCAGTTTAACTCTTTTGCCATTTAAGAAATCAGAACACAAAAAGCTGATTCTATGCATGTACATAGCTGATACTTTATCTGAGGAAACAGATTCCTCCCCACAAATTCTCCTCCAAGCATTACAGAAGAAAAAGTGCCGTTAACCTTCATTTCTATATGCATAGAAAGGATACATTTCCATAGTAGGAAAACCTGGGAAGAGCCCTGCAACGGAAAGCTTGATGATTTTAAAGCAGTCCTGGTCAACTCATAAAATGGTATCAATTTAGTCAATAACCTGTTCAGAGCATGAAGTTTCACATAAACCCAGCTTTTGTTAGACAAATGGCTTTAATGTTTTGCATGAAATAGTTCTTCAAAATTTTCTCTCCAGAAAAGATCCAGTGAGCAGACTGCTAAGCCTTTTGTAATTAGCAGCATTTTGAACACACACACTTGAAACATGAGGGAAATTCACCATTATTCATAAAGTTATACCCACTTATATGCAGAAAAAGTAACACAGTTTTACTTCCAGAACAAAATCTGCACCGTATGAACTCAGTCTAACTTTCCGATTATCCTACAAGGGGGAAAAACATGCAAACAGAACCGAAGAGAGTTTATACAACATTAAATCTCGCATTTTAGTAATAGTTCTTCACATTGGAGTAATACATTTTTATCAGCATCATGTAAAAGGGACAAGATAACATACATATATTTATCTCCTTTTCATACCTGAAAGAAACAGTTTATATTATTAAGAAATACTGTCACCATCTAAATTGCTTCAGTTTAGATTCCTCACTTTCAACTCTCATTTTAAGCCATATCTTACCTCATCGCCTTCAATCTTCAGAGAGTATCCAACCATTTCTTCTCCTGTCAAAGTTAGTACTGCATCCACAGACTGTTTGGTTGATAGCATGCTTCAAACAGCAAGAAAGCTGCCCTCCTTGCCAAAAACTGAGGATACGCTCCCTCATTTGCTTGAGGTCATGTGCCCAATCTCTGATCCTCCTTATAGGAGTAAAGGATATCAAGGCTGTGGAGATTTCTAAACACGAGTATTTTTCCTGAACTTCCACTATATTCCTTAACTCATTTTTCACTTTGTTCCCCTTTCCGTCGATCCCTATTTAGATGAAGATGCAGCCGTTTAGGTCACAGGTACGAAATGAGAACCCTGCCACAAGCTTTGCACCAATTGCCATGGTCTGCCATGATCCTGAAGGTGATACTTTGACACCTTCTGTCTCCAATAGGCACAAAACAAAACAGTGATATCCAACTTCAACATCTAGAAGACATGGTTCAGTCACGTGCTAGATATGTCTCATTTATGATATGAAACAATTTCTTTATGGCTTCCTAAAAACAAAACTAAAGATAAGACCTTGTTGCAAATAACTTTTACTTTAAACCTTAAGTCGACTTAAGTATTAATTCCATACTAAAAGGCCAGCCTTCATCTTAACAAAAGGGTTAAGAAACATATTTCCTTGCCCCTAAACTGAATTATTTCATTCTTTATACTTTCTGCTTACTCGGATGTCACCAAACCTTCCCTGGAAATTCTAATACTTTATTTTATACCTCATGAAATGTATGTCACTTCCAGCATAATTTTTAACCAGATTTCAAAGTAACTAATGACAAATTCGGAGCAGGTCAGTATCTATGCTCTAGCCGTGACCTAAATGTAAATAAGCCACTGATGTATAGTAACAAAGCATTTATACAAGTTTAACCTTAAGAACATACCCTTCCACTTTATTAAACCAGAAAGCACTTTTTTTTTTTACTGCAAAATCAGTTTATATACTGAAGTGAGAGTCAATGCATACCTATAAAATATTGCTACTGCAGCACTCCTAAGTGATAGCAGCTTCTCTTTAGTGTCCAAATCCCTTAAAATTACAACTTTTAATAGCATACTTTAGAAGTGATAGCATTTTGATATAAGAATCATGTTTTCATTTTCCATCTTTTCTACTGCTTTCCAAATCATTAAATCTTAGGTGAGAATGTACGTAAGCACAAAGAAAGTATTTTCTAAGCCAAAAATTGTTGACAGCTTAAAACTAATTAGTCTCTCATTATGCTTAGCATTTAGATGCATACAAAAATATGAGTAAGTTATAAAGACAGCAGTGAACAAGAAGGTACAGTCAGCATTTTGTGTTTTATATACCACTATCCAAATGCATATTTAAAGTACTGAACTTGGAGCCAAAACAACACAGGCTGATCTTCTATCAACCACTGTTTCCAAAGTTTAATGAATTTAGTTTACACATTCTCGAAGAATTATCTCGGACGGGAAAAGAAATCCCTTTTCCTACACTAAAATATTTTTTTTTTTTTCAATTTTCATTAATAAAGTACTATCCCCCCGCCTTAAAAACACACCAAAAAATCCCAGAATACCCAACCAAAACCAAAAGGAAATACTTCAAATTTGACATGGATTTAACATATTCTCAAACATACTGAAATAGAATTTTGAAAACTTAGTAAATGTTCACAGCCTGGCTATTGTCAACCAGATTTTGCATGTATTCTAAATGTCACATTATTTAACCGTCTTTATCTTTGCTTACATGCTGTTTTGAGTGACTACATAACTTAGAAGAGGGGAGTTTTGTAATTTTTTTTTTTGAACTGATAGCTATAATAGTAAATACATTGCTAAGAAGTCATAACTCTGTAACAGATAACATTTATTTCCTCTGCTTTTATAGGACTAATGTGTATCAGTACAAACTCGGAAACACAAGCATGACAGCAGCTACACTGAAGGAGAACCTAGACAGACAAGCATTTCAGCAATGTGCTAGCGAAAAAGGGCATGTACACCAGCTCAACTCTTGGCTGCTCATCAGTGCTCCTTTGCCAGAAATTATTTCCTAAATCTGCCTGCTTACATAAACATACTCTAAAAGGCATTGTCAAAATCAGCTGGATCAGCAAATACCTACTGTTTAAATTCATTTAGATAATCCTAACTAAATAGGGTTAGGAGCGTTCTCATGAGCAGCTCCATTGATAGATTTTAGGGGAAACAGAGACTCCCAAGTTCGGGAGTGGCAGTGAATGTTTAGCTGTGATAACTTCAACCAGCACATCTGCATCTGTGAAGAGAGAGGCCTGCAGGCTGCAGACCCGGGAAACTCGGCTGTACTAAGCACACTAGCATCCTTAAAGCCGTGGAACTGACCTTACCGCATGAATAATTAACTGCAATTTCAAAGAGCAGCAGCATCCAATCCCAAGAAGGTCCCTTTTAGATCAAAAACAAAGTATTTTGGCAATTGCCCCCACATAGTACTTTATCCCCAAGCTGCATGCTCTTTTTTTTTCTGATAATCTCTCCAATTTTCTTGTATTTAAGAATAATTTCATGAACATGCTAGTATCATTGTCACCAACTATTCTACCAGTAAATGTTTGAATTGATGCCATAATAGCTTTGATTGTGCAAATAAATGTTAGTTACGAAAAGTGGTGTTATTCCTGTAGGGAAATAGGGAAATTATTTTAGAAATAACACAAGATTGCACTGCTATAGTAACAAACATAACAAAAATAGTGGCAAACTGGAGATATTTCATAGAGAAGCACCTGCAGACGTCTGCAGGCAGGCAAGGCCTGTGCCTTATGAGGAAAAAAAGTTATTTTCAAAGTCTAGGCTATATTCTCTTTCCAGAAAAATTAAAACCATTTTATCTACACTTATGACAAATAAATATGAATTTAAGATTTTTACAACTTTCTTTTTATGAACAAAGTTAAGCAGTGAAAATATATTTGTATATCAAGAAGCACCAA